AAGGTGTACGTACTATAGTGGTGTCCGTAATATAGATGTTTCCGTTGTATAGTAGAGATAGGTTTCGCCTTAAAAAGTGTTTGATCACCAGACATCGCGTTTTACCAAAATGACATATTACCAAAATTTTGGTACTCCAATATAATCCATACAAAGTAAACACTAAAATTTAATAATTAAAAAGTGCTAAATTGTACAGAATCAGAATGCKARTTCCTTTGTTTTCTATTGTCTAATCTACACTATAGTACGCCATTGCACTCTTTGGTTAGTACTTTTTCATGTCTTTAGTGTTTGTATTAATCTCGTATCGTTATCTCGTGTAGTACGACATGGCCTCTCTAATAGAAGAACAAGTCCAGAAGCAAATGCGGTCTGCGGCAAGCGAAAAAGGAGAAGTTAGAGCAAGAAAGAGTCTATTTTCRAAAGGATGGGCGAACTGGTCACCAAGCTCTAAACGCCAAAACGTTCTTTGATCTTGAAAAATGTACAGAGAAGTCGTTATATAGTTTTACAGTGTAACATCACATCGTATAKAGCGTACTTGCGACAGATGTTTTATCGAATTATTATCCCCATTCGCCAAAAGATCTAAAAAAACTCACGCCCAGTGCCCGCAACGTCAATTAAAGTTATTCCATAACTCCATGGATCTTACAACATTTTAAACATTTTCATTCAAAGGAATCCTTACTCATCCCAAAGTCATTTTGTTGAGATGTCTCTAATTGCATACATTTGCAACCGGAAACTAAACATTGYYGGATTGTCGCGCAATYTTAAAGTTACTCTYTAATTAGTTTGTAGCTATTTTAAATGTAGAAAAACTATGTTTTTAGAGAGATGTTTTTGCTACATTCCGTTTTATAAYGACCATCTTGTACAAGAATCACGGACTCATAAAGAAGAGTTTAAAATTATTGTAAATTAATTGGTTCTAAATTAATTTTAAATACAAATGTTACAAAGGCGAAATAAAGGAAAAATAAGATTTTGAATCTTGTGTATTTGCATAGAAAACGGTGATGTGTTGTGACATATTTAAAATCGTTGTGAGAGAGACTGGTAATTCACATTAGGCAATGCGACGCCATTTTGTGYAGCAACGCATGATGGCAGTTGTAGTTCTCACACTTAATATAAATATAGATACTAAGATAGCTCCCTTTCCTTGAAATGACTTTTCTTTGCAGAAACGGCAGAATAACATATTTTGGCTAACAAACAAAAACGTTTCAGGAGTGTTCAAAGTACAAGAACTACAACGAACATCATATTTTGTTGGACAAAATGGCGTCGCTGCTCATTGCATAGAAACGAACGGTGATTGGACGACTGAAAGGAACTATGGGCGTGGATAGTATATAGTAGTGTTTACTGACGGTATTAATAAACAAATGACAGTGTACCATAATGTGCATACTTTCTTTATTCGATTGCAAAAGTAAACAGACTGTCGTAAAGATAAGAAAATGAATTGTAAAGTCAATATCTGAACTGACCATACTAATGGCGCGCTCYTATCCTGACGCAGGTTGGCGTTAGGTGTACGATGTTCTCTTYWGTRCCTCTTGACAGTTCAGAGCACAGAGCTACTGGAATAACATTGAATATTACAGTAAAAGAAAGCCTTCACAGTAATCGCACTTGCCGTCATAACAATCTTCTTATGAATCTACCTAATCKTTACTTTATCAAAAATAAGTATATTTAATCTATAGGTATTGCTAAAACTAATTCCTTTAGTTGATATCAGTGTCTTATACGGCCGTACGTGACTACCGCGTGCCCTCCTGAAGACGAAAAATGCTGGCGTAGCACTCCCTTATAGACAAAGCCTCTAAGTGCACCGTGATGCCTTGGGTCGTTGATATTAGCGCTGATGAGTGCATTGTTTTTCGCTATAGATGGACTAATTTTTCCTCGTTTCTTCTCGGGCTTTTTGACTGGAGGTCTCTGTTGCTGTAAACGATGGCTAATAACTCGGCCCCAGGGAGCGACRCCTCTGTTTTCCCGTGCCTTGGCGGGCGGTGGAGTGGGTGCAACAGTGGAAATTTCATGACTTGGTTTTTCTTTTACCGATGAGCCTAAATCATTGAAATGATTTTTATTAATGAGTTTTAGTGCTTTTTTGAATTGCCTTACGTGTTAAAATCTGTACAGGCATACGATGCGCGCTACTGTTCTTGCAGTGCTCATGTAGGCATATAATGATAGAATGCAGAACGAAAAGTCTGTATCGCCCCATGTAAGAGAATCCAGAATCCGGAATCCGGAATCCGGAATCCATTAAAAAGAGCTTTGCATAAATAAAGTTTTCTATTGGTAACGTGTGCGCAAAACTATAACGAGATCATGCAACAAAATGCTCAACCAAACAATAAAACATTCCAGGTTCTGAATACTTACATTTCGGCGGCGGAACACTTTTCGAACGTTGAGAAGAAAACTCATGGACGTATCTCCAGGCACGTTGTCTAGTATTTCGCATGTCACTTTTTGCTCGTTTATATGACCTGTTCGCTTGAATAGCACGATTCATCTTCATGTACGTTTCTCTGCTTAATTCTTCAGGAGTATTGGATTTGGCATTTTCTTGACCAGTTATAATTTCTGCCACCTTTACTGGTAGTTCTTTGCGAGTGACCTTTTTGTAAACACAGTTAGCTGCCGTGAACCTCTCGCAAGGTGTTTCGCGTCCGCTGCCCGGAGTCACGCAGCTTCGTCTGTCGTCGCTTGGTGTTCTTGCGATCGAGTCGGGCGTTGCCGGGWGGGTAAGCCTCGCATGGGCTTTTGTACCTCTTTTGTGCAAAAGGACTGGTACTGCTTTGGGCTTAGGTGTTTTGGGCGTCCAACCACTCATTACAACTGCAATAATATTTTCAGYTGTCATTACTTAAGATTACTTTTCGTTCTGTTGCTATGGATTGATTATCGAGATTGTTATGGGRCCGTGATCTTCTTCTATTGTCAATAAATATCTCTTAATCAATCAATCCAATTCAGAATCTTTCAGCTTTTTACCTGGACTGGCTGTTCTAGTTGTGCTATCTGCTGGTTCAGGTGTTTTGGAATCAAGAGTATCTCCCTTTGGTTTTCGTACTAATTTAGGGGCGTTGTCAGGTTCTTTGGTTGGTATGGATTTTGCTACCGGCTTAGCTTGTTTCCAGGATTCTACAGATGGKGTCAACACACGCACGGGAGTCCCTCGCGGGAGTTTTATTATCGGACTCTGTTAAAGCAATTCAAAACGCGGTTTAGCCCGAAAGTTTTACTTTTGCGCCCGAAATCTTTCTTATATTTATGATGCGATATTCACACTATTCCAAGAGAATATAAATTTGATATAACTTTGAAAAATAGCAAACATACCTCAGACTTGCCATCATTGAGCCACGTATCGACAAGGATTCTGTTAAGAGTCAATCTTTCGAAAGGATCAAATCGTAGGATAGATCTGACAAGATGCTGGCACTCTGTATATAGACAATCAATGATGTTAGCACTGAAAGTAAAGCCTGCTTCATTTAACCAGCAACGGCAAAAACACGAGCGCAGAATAAAATGCAAACGAACTTAAGAGGGCTTATTTGGTAGTGACAATAACACGGTMTTTTCTTTTGCAGTTGGTTTTGATAGTGAAAACGAAGCACAACGGAAGTCCAACAGCTGTAGATTATTCATGCATCCCACTCCGTCTTGGTTGTCCTAAGACTGCATTCAAGCCGGCTGAATGTGMGCATTATCCATGTCACATTTCCAATCCGAATATAAGACATTATTTTTACACTTGCGATAACTATAGCCTAGGATTAATGCTGTTAATTTTGAATTAATAAAGGAAACACGCGGCGTCCAGCTACACATAAAACAATTGCATGGCACAAGATGCAAAACAAATCATGATGACCTACCTTGAGAACAAGCGCCACGAACCGGAAAGCTGACTTTTGTTCTTGTTTGGACAACAAGCGAATGCAAACTGCAATTGTCATTGAAAGGGAGCTTTCCGCACAGCATAGCGTAAAGGATCACGCCCCTGAAATGATTACAATTAATATCTTCAAATGAGACATGATATGAGAGAGTATTGTAGAAGTTGAATGGCGCCATTACTTACAAACTCCACACGTCAGCAGCTTTCCCGTCGTATTTTTGAGCYTGTAGTATTTCTGGAGCTGCATATGCATACGAACCGCAAAACGTTTCCAAATACTTTGTTTTGTTACTTGGCGATCTTGTTGCAAACCCAAAGTCTGAWTTATTAGAAAAGTTTTTGTCTATTAAAAAGTATCCCRTGAGAAACGGTCAATGATAAGAAATTCAAAAGTTTTGATAAACAGTGTTTTATTTTTTATATCAGTCTTATACCTGAAATCTTGATAACGTTGTTGTCGTCGATCAAGATGTTTTCACATTTTAGATCCCTAGAAGATAAAAGACGATTAAGGGTCAGCGGATGTTCACTATTCGGACACGGAAGCSTAMTTGAARAAATCAACARCTCATGTTCAAGTGTTCMATATAACTTACCGATGAACAACATTTCGACGATGACAATGAGAAACCCCTTCAACTAGCTGACGGAAGAAGTTCCTTGAGAGCTCTTCTCCTATTCCGACACAACGGCGGCAACGCGAGTTAATATAATCCAAAAGATCTCCCTTTGAAGCGTACTCCATAACTAGATAGATCTTGTCGCTTGAGTAGAAAGTTTCATATAACTGAATCTGCAAAATTTAGTCATAGAATTAGTCATATTTTTATGGTGAACTATTGCGCTTATTGCTCGAAAACAATTGCGGCCGTCGTGTCGGAGAAAAAGACAAATGATGACGCCCGAAATGAAAAAAGAAGGGAGTAAATAACGAATTATAAAAACGTAAAAAAGTAGAACGGGTGAAAAGGATATTTGAGCATGTTGAGCGATTTGTGTAAAAATCAATATTGTTAGCACTACGTGCATACCACATTGTAATGTCGACATGTTGCATTCAGAGCATCTATCTCTCTTGGCATGAATTTCTGTAGGTATTCATGAGGAGCTTGACGCTTTGAAACAATTTTGATGGCGACCTGATAAAAAAGTTAACAAGGTGTTAGATGAATTGAATTATGTGCAGTCGCAACATAACAAGATTTTCCATATCCCAATCTATTATCCTTCTCTTCAGTYAACTGCCTGYTGTTTTTGTCTACTTTCGTTTGTTTSTTCGCCAGTGCGAGCTGAACAGTGATGAATTCTTACAATGTTGTGTCCTTTTATGTGTAAATCCTCTGCAAGCCGTTTATCCTTTTCTTGCTTGCTTTCCAATACATATGCCATTTTAACCTTTGCATAAGCTCCAGAGCCAAGTATAGTTTTTGTGAGTTTGTATCCTCGCCGTTCGCATTCGATCTCTTCAATAGTCAAACTGGATTGAGAATTTGCAAATGCGTCCTTAATAACATTATATCTGAACTTCTTCGCTTGCATCTTTCTTGATTAATCTTGAAATGCTATTTGGATAATCGAAAGATACAAACAAAATAAAAATTGTGAAAGTTTTACAGTAGCAGGACACTGTAAGTTGTTGCGCGACTTTCCGYGCATTCTCTTTGTGACGTCGTCCGTCCGAGGAACAACGAGTAATGACGTCACACGGAGCCGGTTATCGCGTGAAATTGTACTTCGTAATCCTTCGTAACGCTTTACGTGCAATTTTTGGATCTAAACGTAATTGATTCATTCTACTCCATCGAAAAAAGAGGAAAAATGAAAAACAAGAATATTATCTGAATTTCTGGAATAATTGTGTCCGCGCTCTAGAATTTCGACGAAAAGGATTATGGGATGGGTTAAGGTGAAACTTGCCGAGAAACGGTGAAAACTTTTACAAAAATGGCAGATTCCGAAAAGGGAGAGTTTCGTTTCAATGGCAGGAAACCTGCAAGTTTTCAGCTTGAAAAAGGAGGGAGTTATTTCATGATCGGCAGTGAGGTGGGGCATTACTTAAATTTACAAAAAGGAGCTCTTTACAAGAAATTTCCCTCTTTATGGCGAAGAACTCCAACTTTGGARGAAAGAAAAACTTTGCTTTCTTTAGAAAACAGCTACAATAGTTTATCAAACTCTAACATCATGCTTGTTAAAAGCGAAGAAGTCGAAGAAATACTCCAAGGGGCTGGGACGAAATATCGTGATAGATTTCCAGACAGTCCCATTCCTGCCGCCAAAAGTGTGTGTTGGGCGCGAAGGCCCAGTCTGGCTAGTCGTTGTCAAGTGTTTGATGTCCCCGCATTCACGAGGGAAGATCTTGGTTCGTCCGTATTGCACTTGAACGCTGTTACACTATCTACTAAACCCGGAGAGATGGTTGGTAAGAAGGTAAACTCGMGCAAAAGAAGAGAACTTAGAAAGAAAATCATCAACGCGAGGTAAGAAAACCGTACGTCAATCGCATTTAACTTAAGCTTTAAGTTATCATTAGTCAGCCGTATTCTCGCCAGCAAAGTCATGATACTCGGACACGCGGTAAAATTCATATGGCTAACCTCACAAGAACCTATTTGAAGTTTTTTGATTTCGATATTGCTACTTTGAGTGATTGTCTAAATCTAAGTGATTCTAAGTTGAAAGATTATCACGGTTTGGCTACTTTCACAGATTCATTAACACCGATGTTGTTTACTTATCGTTTACCTATAAGCTCCTATCAAAGCATTTCTGGTCTGTATGATATCGTTAGTTACACTTGATTATGTTAATAAAAGAACCCTTTTAAAATTCCTCTTGATTTATAAATACAACCAGCTCTTTTTGGTTTTCTTTGCAAAAAAATAGCGGGAAATTACTGAAGTAGATGAACTCGCGCAAAGGCCTCTGGTATTCTTCCAAACCAAGATGGCGCTTAGAACATACGGACAAAAACCAAAATCTTTTCAACTTGAAGATGGAGCAGAGTACTACATGATCGGCTCAGAAGTAGGAAATTTCCTGCGTATGTTTCGTGGCTCTCTATATAAGAAATATCCRTCCTTATGGCGACGGCTAGCAACTCTTGACGAGCGAAAAAAGATCGTTTCTTTAGGATTCGGACACAATAATTTGGCTACAAATGTAACTTTATTGAGAGCCCATGAGGTTGAAGAGATTCTAGAAGGCAACGATGATAAGTATAAAATATCTGCTGAGGTTCAAGAGTCTGCCAGACAAGCTGCTACAGGAAAATCAAAGCGAGGAACAACATGGCAGCCACAGACTTTGTTTCCTAGTACTTCATTTCATCTTGATGCGGTTCCTTGTTCGACTGCCGTCAATCGTAACCGACTTGGTCCAAAACGAGTCAGAACTTTTCCTACATGGTAATTTTGACTTATCAGGCTTTAATGATTTGGKTTAGAATCACCGAGATATCAAAAACTCGGCATAGCCAACCGAATGTTCGAACTCATTGAATYGTTCTATTGTTTGGCCTTTGGTTTTAATAAGGATCGAACAAATTTTAATGCCGAAATTAATATATATTTTTACTTCAGTGATGTTAATTAGATCCTCTCACGGTTTTAGTTGCATTTTATGTGGATCAGCTAGAGAAAAACTAGCTTAGATAAGTAAAATATGAAGTTTTATTATGTCTTACTTTGCTTTGTGTTCATATCTTGGGCTTCCTGTTTTGGGGACCAAAGATAGTTTCAAAATATTACAGACTTGACATTGCTGAACAAGGATTTCCACTTCCTGGTCTATAATAGGAATTGTACTTGTGTATGATGTAGGATAGAATAGAGCACAGGCTATATTGTTCAAATATGTGCAGAAATGTGACACACAGTAGCTTAACCCATCAAAAACTAATCAAGCCATTATTTACTTGACTCTCTTACATTTACTGTCATCTAGAGCTACAAAAATGTCTTCCATATAACCTTCCCATTCTGGGAMTTTTTCAATTGTATTCTATTTGTACTCCATTTGCTCTGTGCTATGTGTTTGTTTGTTGTTTTTCTTTGTGTGTGTGTGTGTTGTTTTTTGCCTAGAACATTTTTTCTTCCTCTCGCAATCCTAGTGCAGCTGTATTCCTGTATTCCTATAATATCATTCCTATTGCCTCTGAAGACATATCCACCTTGAACCATCAAACCATTATTGTTTAAAGTGTATAGTTGATTATTATTTTTATTATTGATATTAACAGTTTATTATTGTTATTTAGCTATGATGATCATGACATGGAGGCAGTGCACAAAGCGGCATCACTAACTGAAGTACTAGTCCCCATTAGACTTGACATTGATATTGAAGGACAGAAACTAAGAGATACATTTACATGGAATAAAAATGGTAAGTCAATTTGAATTGATTATGGAGAATTGAAAGGTCAAAAGCCTTACAAGGTTTAAAAAAATTAATAAACATCGTAATACAGCATAACTTATTATTAACACATTAACAAATTGCAATTTAAAATTGTACAATGCGATTTTAATATGCTCTGTGATACTGTAAGATTCCCTCTTAAATCAGACAGATGGGAATGGATTGTGAATAGATATTATTTATATTCTCCTAAATGTGGCCAACTTCTATATTGTATATGAGATATATATGCCACAACTTCATGCAGTTTTTGATGACCATTTAATAACATTGTAAAAAGAATGTTTCCTTAAGTAATGATGAATGGTAAAATACATGAATATCAATAGCATGGCTTTGTCCTTCACATAAGTCACCAATAAAACACAGTTTGTTACAGTATGTACTATCATGATTATGATGATTTGATTCTTTTTTCTAGAAACTCTCATCACACCAGAGACCTTTGCTGAAGTCTTGTGTGACGACCTAGATCTTCCCCCGGCATCGTTTGTTACAGCCATTGCCCAGGCCATTAGACAGCAATCAAAGCAGTTTGATGTAGAGCCTGAGATTGTATTGAATGAACAGAAAGATCAACGAATCATCATCAAGGTTCATAAGTTATTTTGTTTGTGCTTTGCAGCCAGTCAGAAGCAGAATGTTTATAGGTCAGAAGATATTATTTTGYAGTTCWRAGATTGTCAAACCATAGTCTGAGTAGCAATATCAAGTGAAACTTTTCTTACTGGTCAATTCTGAATTTACAATGAAAGTAACATTCAAAGATTTTCTGTTTAATCTTACATTTTCTACTTTTTTTCAAAACACTTTGGTCTAATGAACTGGTTTTTCTTTTAACAGCTTAACATCCATGTTGGCAACATTTCTCTTGTGGACCAGTTTGAATGGGATATCTCAGACCCACAAAACAATCCTGAACAGTTTGCTCTTGGACTGTGCTCTGACTTAGGACTTGGTGGCGAGTTTGTAACTGCTGTTGCATATAGTATTAGAGGGCAGTTAAGCTGGCATCAGAAAACTTATGCATTTAGTGAAGCACCATTGCCTAAGGTATGTAGTATTTGTAACCTTGTTTTCATTACRTGGTGGTTTCTATCCATGAAGAGCACCTTTATCAGGACAAACTAACAAAGAAATGTAGGCAAAAGGTGAATGTCTACTATTTTCAATCATACTTGTGTTTTGRAGGCACAATWTTTTATCTAGATGAGAAAATGTTTTGGTATTCTCATTGTTTTTTACAATTGTTAAGTGCATATTGAGTTGKTACTTTCTCAGAYCTACAATATATTTTTGGAGAGTTTGGGTTTCATTGGTTGCCAAACATCACAAACTAACTGGATTTTAAACTAAGTGTTTATTATATACCTAAAACTTATCTACTCTTATACTGCTATATCCTTTTCTTATCTGCCAGTCTCACTTCTACCATATAAAAAATGGCTTTCTTTAATATCCTTTTTCATTCTAAACTACTTTCCTATGTTCGTATTCCATTCTTTGACAWTGTCTTGTTATTATGATTTTATCCTTTCTCATTGCATTCTTTTCCATTCTCTTTTCCTATTTTCCATTACTTTCTAGTCCTGTTTCATTCCAGTCTTATTGTACAACAGGTTGACAACGCAGTRAGATCCGGTACTGATGTGGACAACTGGGGACCTTACCTAGAGACACTTACAGATGCTGAGATGGAGAAGAAGTTAAGAGATCAGGACAGAAACACAAGGTACGTTGTATCTCTGTTTATTGATGCTATCTTTATACAGCTTAGACTTAGTATGCCCTGATTCAATCTTTATTTTTACATGGTTTTGACTATTAGATGTGTTTCAATAGTTTATGTAATATAATACAATTTGAGTGGGCAATCTGTGTGAGGATTTGAAACAGCAAGCTGAAAGCAATGAGTTTTATGATAAACAATATGCACTAGGATACRAAAAACAAGGCAGTATGCTATGGGATAGAAMTCTTAGAAGAAACCTCTWTGAAGTGGAGTTTTCCTGTCTGYGCTGTTTGTGTGTTGGGATCCCTGTGCTCCCTTCCCATAATGCAAGGAGACATGCTGTTTTTTTTTCTAGTTCTTTATAACGTACTTTAGATTATATTATATTTCTTTTCATGGTGACTAAAAGTGTGTATAAAGATCCTAAATTGTGTTGAGAATGCTTTATATCAATGTATAGGTTGTTCAAATCTCGATTAGCACTAATCCTTAGTTAACTCTTTAAAAAATATAGAGCTAACTTCAATTAATGTTAATCTGGCTTTTGAACAGCCTGACCAGAAATGTGAAATTGATTACAAAATCTTTTAAAGAAATGAAAAGTTCAAGTTTATCAAGRCATTCATTTCTTTCTTGTTGTTTTTCTCTAGACGTATGAGACGCTTGGCTAACACTGCTCCTGTTTATTAACTCAACAACAAGAACTGTAAATATATATAATAGTTGTTTAACAGATGTATTAGTGTAAATCTTTAGAATATATATTTGTTTCTCTTTTTTTGTGGTTGCATTTTACTCTAATCATTTCTATTTATTGAATTTTGACACTTTCCAGTGCAAATAACATTTTCCATTCCCCAACCTTCAGGGTGAAAATTTGACCTGCTAATTTGCCAGCTAAAATGGAAATGTTGCAGACTCCTTTCAATCTCGAGCACCTGAATAAAAATACCCTGCTACTAGAGTATTCTAAACCTTCTTCCAAGAAAAAAACTACAATAAAAAACTTTTTAGAGTTTTGTACTGTTCGATAGAATAAGGCGGTATATGTTGGCATGGCAAATGACAGTCTTTGAGGCTAATTATTTYGAGCTTAGTATAAACATATTAATGGTCTATCACTCATACTGCGCTGTGATTGGCTACTCTACTAATGGTCTAATTTGTGATAGACCACTCGCAGGAAAATCAAAATAAATAAATTATAAATTATTTTAAGGATATTTCAATTTGTTTTCATTATTTGACCGATTAGTATGTTTATACTAAAACAATTAGACCTCTCGGCCTCGTGGACTATGAGCTAATAGCCCATTCGGCCTTGTGGACTCGGCCTCATTGGCTATTAGCTCGTAGTCCACTCGACCTCGAGGTCTAATTGTTAAATAGTCAATGTTTGGTAATCTTGGGTTTGTGAGCAAGTTTCTTTTCAAAAGCTCTATGAGACTCATAAAGCTCATCAATGACTTCCAATATATTAGCAACAGTCGCTCTGACTTTATCACTCGGCTTRCAGTCACTGTTGTCGTCTTTATGGGTCGACCCTTCGAGGTATTGCTGTTTCAGTTCATTTCTACTTAGAAACAGTTGGGTGTACACCATTTGGATTTCAGCATCGGGATCTAAAGGGTCTCTCCAATCGCTTAGAATTACCCGACTTCCACTCCGTGTACACCCACCACCTAAACAACAATAGGATGATAAGGTGGAATGTCAGAGAGTCCATTTTACTCAGCTAGCCGTAATTCCTGAGCAAGGTAAAATCACTCACAACGAATTACGACTTATTAGTTGAGCGACCAAGAAAAAAATCAACAACAACAAAACACAGAAAGCTGTCAATTTTAGATAAAAATRAATAAATGAAATTCTGAATACATTCCTATTATTAGTTGATTTTTAACTAAGGATTGAATAGACATCCAGGATCTTATAGAAGAGCAATATTCCGGGGTTTTTTTAACAATAAACTAACAAAAACTTGAAAACAATATCACAGGTAGCCCAAGCTAGGCATTTGTGAACTTTTTAGAAATTTTTAAAATATAATAAAAATAAGCATCTCAACCTGTGTATTGTGTTTTTCATTACATTTCTGTGAAGTTTCMGGCCATTTCCTTCAATTTTGAGCGATTTATGCATGTTGTTTTCCAGCGTCCTAAGAAGCCGAGCTCTGATTACTGTGCTAACTTCTACTCTTGTTAGGACGCTGGAGAACAACAGGCATAAATCGCTCAAAATTGAAGAAAATGGCCTGAAAAACACAACACACAGGTAGAGATATTTATTTTTGGAGATGTTTATTTTTATTATTTTTTTATTTTTTTTTTTTATTTAAAAATATTTCTAAAAAGTTCACAAATGCCTAGCTTGGGCTACCTGTGACAATATAGACGGTTTTGGTGTATTCGCTTCAGTTTGTTGTTTCATTAAATACCGCTGCTGKATTTTCAACATTTCAGGGTTKTCAAGAAACAAACAAAAATAAGGAAACCAAAACGAAACGAAACAAATTATAACATAAAAAAGTGTGGTAGATTTGGGCAACTGCCGTCTTTACTTACAAGCTCGGCTAGGTTTGCCGCAGCATTTCCACTTATGGTTATAAAGACCAGAATGAAACAAGGTCAACACACGAGGGTTGTTTACTATGGTCTTCCTGATGGCTGACATCCACTGATTCATCTCGTTAACACTCTACGAATAAACATGATAAAATGCTTATATGTAAAATATTTTCATATCACCATATTTGTGCACTATTGATTATTTTCAAATTTTCAGTGCAAGCGRGCTTAKAGTCGAACCTGTGTATAAATTTAAGGAAATTCAATGTTTATTTTCGTAAGAAAAAGGCTATTCCTATATTCGGGGTTTATTTCTCAAATCAAGAGAATAGCAAAAACGCCGACGTTAAAATTGAGAACAATGGATTTTTGTTTTATGAATTGTTTTTTCTCAACAAGTCTGGTTATTTCTATACAAAGAGATTCATMGTTCTCAGATTCGCCTCATGGCTATGCTGACTCGGAATTCCTTCGGAATCTTTCGGCTGTATCTTTAATATATATGACTTATTGTTTGATTGATGTATGGTTTTCTGACTGGCTGATTTTATTATTAAAAGGCYAACTCTGGTCAGAAAGTCGCCKTAAGTCGCTGCAACTTAGGCGACTTAAGGAAATTTCGGCGATAATTAGGTGGGGTCCCTTGGTCCGAAATAGACCTATTAATAGTACAGTGTATAGGTATGGATCAGTTGTCGAGTCTTTCTAATTCTTACCTGGCAAGATAGATACAAAGTTTGTAACGCGCCTTCATACTCTTCGCTAATCAATTGAAAAACGTTGGGCTTTTGAAATGCGCAGTCATCCACCTTTTCAACTGCAACAATCTTGTGAGTTGGCAGAAACTGCCGTGTCTAGATGCAAAGAGTAAATTTAATTTGTCAGAACATACGAAAAGACATTTATTCGATACCTGCGCCTGCAAATAATTCAGAGAGCATGTAATATGCTRTGCATTCTGTAGTTCTAACCTCTGCAGAAGGGGAATGACTATAGAGAAAGCTTTCTGTGCTCAGCCAACAATATCGCTTTTTAAAGACGTATGACTTTGGGAGCTTGACCACTTTAAATCGGCACTTTTTCAAAAAGCCTTCTTTGATCACTACTGATTTATCGAAGACGCTTCTTCGCTTTCCAAACCCAGGCGCTGCAAAGAACGAAAAACAACTGTCAGGGGTTGCGATGCTGATCATTTAATACAATGCATTGATACAGTGCATAAAAAGCCCAATGCATTTGGTGAAAAGTAGATTAACTGGCAATATATTAAAGAATCGCAACCAACCGCTGTACCTTGCTGAAGCGCCATCTTAGATGGACACGAAAATGGCGGATTCGTACGATTTCTTAAAGTAAGCGCGAAAATCGTGTTCCATCCTTTCAGTTTGGATAGGAATATCTTTAAAGTACCTCGCAGGTTCTAKCAATCTATAATTTATTGTATGCTTGACGCATTTCAACGTACATGTTTGTAAACCATAGAACGAGCGCGCGCTGTATTATGGTTGGTTAGGATTCTTTAGGAGGGTTAACAATTTTGTAATAAAAGTTTTATTAGAAACACAAATGAACAAGGAATGTTGCGGAAGGTAAACAAGCTATCAAGCCGGGTATCCAGACAACAACTGAACAATGTCGCGCTAAAAATTGGCTCTCTTTACACACATTACAACGACAATTTTTACCCTCGGCTCTTCCAACACACAACAAATCAGATTCACTGTTTCCTCAATAAATAGTTAGAAAAATACCTTCGGAATCCTCCACATCCATGATCTTGTCAAAGAAATCTCTCAGCCGTTCGGAGTACGACTCGATCTTTGTGGACAGTGGTTTAATCCATTCTTCGTTGCGCGCGTTCTCTTGCGAGTGAAGATTACTGATCTTCTGAATTATCTGTATTTATATTAAAAACTTATTTATTTTTTATATTGTCTAGTCTCATTACAGTCCGATTTTACGAGTGAAAATCCCATTGGAATAACATCAATCTTTTGAAATTCCTCCCTGAATCTCCGAAAATAACGAATACTTGCATGAAAAGCGCCCAAAACAGGTTCTGTAGACCCTTACTCCGAGGTGTTCTCGGGACTGATAGCTTCACCGTCTTTCTTTGTCTTATATCTACATAGATCTACAGGTAGCGCCATTCACATTGCGCCAACTGATATATCATTATACGTGGTCAGCGTGCAGCAAAATCCACGCAATATTCCTCAATACTGAGACAATCAGGATCTCTACAGAACTAAACCATATAGTAATATGACACTACCTTAGCAAGAAGTGTAAGTGTGCGAGACGTTACACCATCCGCGTGGTTGTCACGGAGACTGAAGAGCTTAGGTCCGAGTATGGCTGGGGCGAAGAACCGAAGGAAAAAGAATCCACTGATTGCGTGGTATTTTATCTGCTGTTTAACGTAAAATATTAGTACTGATGGTTGAAGAAGACACTTGCATAGCTGTTCGTAGTGGGAGGGGGAGAGGATATTGTTGGATTATTGTTTAATYGGTATTACTCTATAATTCTTTTCGTCACCAACAAGTCCGAGATCTTTGACTCCAGTCTMCTACCATTTCTGGAATGTTTGATTAAAATTACTTATTAATCAGATTCAAGTAGAGCGTTCGGTCTAACTACGTTCAATATCTGTACTTACTTCATAGTCTTCACCGAAGTGTTCATATGCCCTTTTGGCAAGGTTTCTGAAGAATAACCTCATAAGAATAGGACAGGATTGCATGGATGTCAGTATTGCTTCCATGATTGAATCCACGTATCCTCCTAAGGCTGCAGCACTGCGTGAAACCGTATCATCTTCGAAAGGGAGAAGACTTCGACGCCTAAAATACCAAACAAAATGTAGTCACGACAGTCAATTCTTTGACCAGATTCGCTGTAAAGTTGGTATTAAACAAGTGTAATAATTTTAAGGCTATCTATACCTTTTTCCAGATATCTTTCCCTTCTCAAGCCTGTTTGGATCCAACTCACAGATTTTATGCTCATCAAAGATGGTGTCAATTGTAGGTTTGAGGACACTACAAAGGTATGGCATCCCAACAACCTGAATTTCAAACCTCGTGATAACCTATTAAGTATCTTAGCTCACGATTTCATACACCTGCAAGTTAGATATCCCTGCGTTTCAATACCGCTGATGAAGAAACACTCTTCCTGAAGAAATTGCTAAATGTAAAAGCTTACGCAGTTTCAAATCTAAAGCTAARAATCATTTGTTATACAATTTTTGCATGAATTTATCATATCTTATTGTATTTGTAATAGTTTTTTATAATTGTACATACGTTTTATACGTACACAAGTATTTCTTTATTTATAAATTATTGCGGAAGAGCTCTTTGGAGCACTAATAAATATTTGCAAAATTTCAAGACTTCGGATTTGTGTAACGTTTTCATTTTGTACAAAACATCCAAAAAAATTACGGACCAAATCTCGCATCATGCTTTTTTGTATCAAATGGTGTCGTTGCATAGGCTGCCCAACTACGACTTGAGAGAAAAAACAACGAGCTCCTCACGCTTTTATTTATCGACGCGCGCTCTTATGGTATATACGTCACGATCCCGTGCCCCGCGGGATACAAAGTCATATTATTGATATTATAAAAACGTAACCACAGCTCATTCTTTTTTTCTCTCAAGCAATAGTTGGGCAGCCTGTGGTCGTTGTACTGATCTTTTCAACTACGCAGGGAGGGGACAAAATTCATAGGTTTGCTAATTGTCTCTGACTGATAATGGACGAAATTAGTTTCTGGCCGACTTCTATTCATTGTCAAAATACATTAGGATACGATCAATTTTTTTCTGTTTATAGAAATGCAACATCTATGCGGTGCAGTATTGTGGTATGTGTGGATTTTCTTTGGCTTCTAGAGTACTTATATATACAGTACCTTCATAAACTGTTCCACAGCTTTTGACGCCAGCGAATTCCCCCGGAAAAGTGTAGTAATTGACGCTATTAAATTAAAGAAAGAATATTCAACGACATTCAATATTTTCCAATAGGAAAGTCAAGGAAATCGTGATACAGTTATCATTCTAGATAAAACTTTACAGTAATTCTGATTGGCTGYTTACTAGTGGTCCAATAGACCGTTTTCAGTTGTGAAGCTTTTACGTCATCATCACGTGATTTGCAAAGCATTGCGGGATCAGTTTCGGGAGAAGACAAAAGAAATCCATAAAGCTTTGTCCCAAGCATATCCTACAATGGATTGCGTACACGGTATATGACGTAAAACCTTCAGAGTTATACTAGTAGCGAAACAAATTAGCAGTTTTGCGATATTTCGCAGGATAAAATTTCGTCGCCTTTATTTTAGTCTTCCACAAAAGTAATTATAAGAAATAACGTAATAATTCAGTTAAAATTTTCTGAGATCGATGTTTTCCTTAAAAGTCTATAAAGAATTAATAATTGTCAAAACTAATAATTATTTATTTGTTTCTCACTTGTTTTTTCCATTTCTTGCGAAGTTATCCAATCCAAAAACTTCAGAAGCAAATTGTTTCCTAAGAAAACCTTGACCAGGTTTCGAGCTACGCATGCGTGGTCGATAGTCGCCATATCTGCTATGATGCTTAGCGCGTCAACAGAGTTTGATGGCTGAAATCCAAGCACTGGTTGCATAATGAGATCTGTGAGCGGCTTGTAGGATGCTGATGGTAAGACGTACTCTTGTACCAGGCTAATCTTTACCCTTATGCTTCCAAGATTTTCGCTAGATTAAAAATATACATAAGTTATAAAATGAGCGCATGGAGATACGAATCTCACTCGCCAGTATAAAAGAATTCATAGTTCCGACAAATTAAACGCGTCATTCGCGAGCGCGGAATTGTCCAATCAGAATAGAGGACACGCAATGTAAGCCATGTTGTCCCACAAAAAATGTAAACAAAGTCGGATTGGTGGGCGAAGTTGAGGTRGTTTCGAGGTGTTGCTGGAGTACTTTGTAAAGCAGATGAGCGCTAAACAGCCAGGTTAAATGGAGAACGATTCATTCTGTTCCCTAAGTAAAAAAAACAATCTAAAAAAAGATTCGATTCCCGCGCTTCGTTCTGATTGGCTAATCGCATACTCGCGCTTGATTTGTCGGAAACATGAATTGGGCATGCGCAAGAAGATAAACTTACGGTTTCATGTGACACTGCTGAGGTTGAGGAAATAGCTTGTACCAGGCGTCCTTTGATTGACCAATAGCGTGTTTCGATAGGAAAACATTGACCTATGAAAAAGAAGCGTCATTTCCATGACTTTAGATGAAGACCATGGTTTCCCCTCTCACCACAGCTAGCACAAAAGATCGGTGCTTAACATTTCAAATGTAGATATATAAAGAAAGATGCAGTCTGTTATATTTCTTACTGTCACCTCTCCCCTTTTGTTTCTCCGTGTCCGAAGCGTGCTTTTAAGTAAAAGTATTGCACATGTCAAAGTGAAGGCACTTGCACATACCTCGCCCATGCAATGATTCTCATCCTTCTTGTCTATCACAGAAGCCACAAGCTTGAGATCGTTAATGTTTGCCATACTATGGAGCTCAAATGTATGGTATTTGTTTGGGAAACTTATACCTTTGGGTACCTATAGGTCGAGCAAAATTATCATGGACTTATCTAAACGGTTTCCTTAATGGGTATAACTCATAACTAAAAAGTCATCAAAACCACGGCCCCAATTCCCGGGCAATATGATGGAATTAACATTTCAACAATTTTAAAGTCTTGACATGAGTTCCCGGCACTTAGAGGCCAACAAAAATTTGGCCATTATAATGAACTCAGACTATAGATGCTATCAAACGGCCAACAAACCCGCGGCAAACCAATCATTTAGTTGATAAGCAACACTGAAACCGTTGATTCACTATCCATTGTACATCCAGCCAACGAACCAAACAGAAACAAGAAAAATTAAGCAAACGTGGGATTAAAGCTATATAGGATTATTGCACCCACTGAGAATAGTTTTAACAGATTGATTTACTTAAATGTAAAATAAAGTATTGTTGTTGTTTTTGTTGTTGTTGTTAAATCAGCACTATCATATTAATTAAAGAATCATAACCACCCGTCGTACCTTGCGCGCTCGTATTATTGTTTACATACGTTTAAATGCCTCAAGCATACAATAAATTATAGATTGATAKTACCTGTGAGGTACTTAGTTAAAGGTATTTCTGTCCAAACTGAAAGAATGGAAGACGATTCGCGCTCACTTTAAGAAATCCTACAAATCCGCCATTTTCGTGTCCACCTAAAATGGCGCTTCGGTTCGCAAGGTACGGCGGGTGGTTATGATTCTTTAACAATGTATACTTTGATCAATGAATTGGTTTTTACCGTTCTTACATCCCTATCATCAGATTTCACTAATTGGATTTGGTTTATGGGACTTTCTTTGTTGTTTTGCATTATGTGYTTTGCAGATTCGCCATTTTGCATTTCTCTTTGTTTTTCTTTCAGAGTTAAGCGAACAAAAGGACCAGCWAAATCGTGGAATAATAGCTCAGATAGATCCCTAAATACCATATGGTGAAAACAAGACATGGTTAGTCGTATTACTGTTTTCTACCGGTCWTAGTCCAACATCCCTTACGCTTTAATCTCGGTCCAAATAATTGCCTGTTCGTCGCTGAGATCACAACTCTTGCTTATTGCCAGTGATCCTACCTTTCGATTCCTTAGGGGCATGTAGGGTTGGTTCCAGGGGTTCCGGAAGTTAAGTTAAAGGAAGATATCATCTTTTTATAGTTCATATCTTTTTATTTTATTGGTTGAGTCTTTAATGTTCATTGCGACAAACATTTCCAATAATTTAACCAACAGCTACATCAGCCTTACCTTGCTCCAAGAACTTTGGCCTTGATGATAGTTTGATTACACTGTACAAAAAYGTTAATATTAATTAAATCAGTTTTTTTAGTCCGCTCGTTTCATCATATTTTAAAAGGCAATTAGCGTTCGATGCACAAAAGAAGTTGAAATTATATAAGTCATACAGCTCTCGCAAATCGGACAGCACGATGATTGCAGRCACCTCGACATATAAGAGTCCCATACTTACAGCGCTAACGTTCGTTTTAGCGGGGTTCGTATTACGAAGGGTGTCCGCTTTAGCGAGTGTTGACCACAYTATACATGAAATTCACCTTCTCAAAAGCAGTTATCTCTATCCTCAGTTCGCCTTGGATATCGTCATCATCATATACTGGTAACAGTGGAAACCACTTCTCCATCCCTCTTGGGCTGTGTGTTAGTACTTCACTYGTGAATGTAATTTTGCCTATTCTTTCGTCTTCCCTACATCAAAGGAATATCAAAAGATATTTATTTATTTGTTTATTGAAAAAATGGAAAATTACTTCCWATATCTTGCTTCAGCCCTTAACGACTCACCCGATTGTATCTTCATCATAAGCTACTATMGAWATGTTCGTAAAACCTTCAGGAGCGAACATAGTGAATTCTTCGCCCCAAAACGGGTTAAGGTTCCTCCATACAGTTGCCGTCCTGAAAGAAATAATGGAATATCAAAGACCTCGATCTTTACTTGATTTAYTGATCAGCCCAGTCTTTTCTTTTTCCTTCAAAGCACTTTAATAAAAAAATTGAAATYCAGTCTCTCGGAAATGCGATCAGAACATGTCAGAATCGTTTTGTGGGCCTTTTGGTAACTCTTTATTTAACAGATTGAACCGGAATTTATCGTGCAATAGTTATGAAACAAAGCAGCTATACATACAATATTAATATTATTTTTATACATTTTTGCACAAAATCAGCCGTATGAAATCGGCTCTGAGAGGCTAAAATGATATCAGTGATGAAAAACAAAAAGCATCGGCAAAATTTTACCTAGGCGAGTGCCTCGGTTGGCCTCTTACTAGCTACGTCCCTGGAATCGTAAGTGTAGATATGTCAAACGACGTTCTTTCCTATATAACTGACATGATCACTGATGATGAGAGACGCGATTTAAAACTAGCAATAAAATTAACTAATAGCCGTTTTTTGCGATTCCTTTTTTTTTGTCCATTTCGGAAACAAGTTCTAATAGTATCCTCACACGGCCGGTCGGTTGTTCTTCGAGTGGTAGGTGAAGTGAAAGTAGCTCCAGTGGTTAAAATCAAAGTTGATTGGTACTTCATTTGCCTCTTCGTAACCGGGCCATGTTACTGGGTCCTGCTGCTAATGCGTTATTCGTCATACAGTGTAATGTACTTTAAGAGAGTCATGGCCCACGAGCATTCAATGCGGTCGTCGTTTTAGATTTTTCATATATGGAAAATAAGAGGACTGCAAATATCCATTCGTAGTCCGTTTCCATTTGCTTTTAGGTCAAATCAGTTACAATAAAAAAGTTTTTGTATGTTTTACTTTGTATTTTTATTTCTAAGCATGAAGCAAAAGCTCGAAAGAGATGCTGGTGGACCATGGCACTTTAAACTGACTTTTAAATAGACTGAAATGATATAGGAAATGAAAGTAATTTGAAGGGATTATACTAGTTCAGTACATCCTTGTCTAGACCCAAAAGCAAACAAAACCAATTTCCATTCTTAATGATTATATACTTGAATTTCTAAATCAATCTGTCCCTGTTGCTCTTTTGCATTCCTACTCTCTTAAACTAGGAAGTTCGAATTCACTTACCAATGATCACTTCCACTTTTAGTAAAGATATTTTACTATAATGCAATCGTCTTAGCGCGGGACGAACTGACACAAAAATCTATACTATGCAAACAAAAACAATCGCGAAAGAATAAAGAAGCTAAAAACCAGATTACCTTCCAACCACATCGTTGTCAACTTTGATCAAGCAATAGGGATCGCTCTTACCCGATCTGTTGATAAAAAATCATAACGAAATCACTGTAATTGTCAATTTGAATGACTGGTTACCTAACTATTCTCGCGACAAGATTTTGTGGCCAATTTCTYTCATACTTACATATCCTTTGCTGGGAGGTTTTTTCCTTCGCCCACCCGAAGATAAATTAGAGTATTTTTAGACATTTCTCTCTCTTCTGTTTCTGGTAATTCACACATTATCCGTGGATTTTCACTGCCGCTTTTCGAGCAAATTCCATAGTAGCAATGCTATGTTACTAAATAAAAACTGTATCCCAAGCGTTAAACTAGATAGCTTGAAGTTCTTTGAGCCAAACTGTAGTAAGATGGACTAAAGACCACTCAACGTACTCGGCCCACTTAGTGTTAATCTCTTACGCTACACTGTCAAAAATTTTGATTTTCGTAAGAAAATAATTAATTGTAATACAKCTAATTTGCATACTTTGGTAAAGTAATCAAGTAATGATTCTGATTGGACAATGAAGTCGGCACCTATTAATGTGCGCGCGTTTGTTAAATCATAGTAACTATGGTTAGATAGGCCAAAACTCGAGGAGCCATATAATATAGTACCCGCCGAATAATATATTGGGTATATTGGTAAAAAAAAAATGCCAGAACAAACCCTGATTTGCGCCCAATTTACGTTGCAAGGGATGACTTGATACACTGATGTAATTTGTAAAATCTGCGAGCACCTTTCAAAAGATTTGTTTCAAAATACGGTTTTCTCAAATTACAAAAAACAATGAATAGAAAAAAACGGGGTCCGAGTGTGATAAACTATGGTTAGTCGAAAAGAAGACACCGTCGCAGTATGTATCTCCTTTTTAGACTCTTTTTGTCGAGCTTTCTGTCCCGGCCTCCCATACAACAATTATTTTTTTCCACGCGATTTCACCAACCAAATCACTTATATTATTTTTACAATTCTGCCCTAAATTTTTCTTTGGATAAGATATTTGATAGGAAATGGTATCTATATTCTTTTGAATGGTAAGCAACAAAAAATACTGGTTGAACATTCGATGCCCGTTAGTTCCCAGTCTCAAACCATTTTTAAGCAAAGGAGGGAATCTGGATCGAGTTTAAAAACAACAAAATGGCGCTAAGCGAACAAAATATTTAGTAATCCAAATACAGTCACAAAACTATATTTACACGCAAGGGAACTTTACCATAAATAAGGATCTAAATAACTGAAGAATATGTCTCGTTCAACAGAGAATTACAGGGTTAATTTAACGCGTTTAAACCCAAAGACAGTGGACGAAGAGCTCATGGAAGTTTGTAGTTTGAGCGGGGTGAAAATCGATCCAGAAGTTTTCAAAATACTCTTGGATTTAATCAAGTTGAATGTTTCACCGACTGCATTGGTTCAAGTGTTGAGAAAAGTAGCAGCAAATAAAGGCTATGGCGATGAATCGAGGACATCAAAAAGTCTTAGTGCAAGTCAGACAGATTTGAGTGATGCAACTAGTATCGAAGGGTCTCTTCAGAGAAGCGATAGGACAACAGCACTCGCCAATCGACTCAAGGAACTGAAGAAGGCACAGTTGCAATTCAATCATTAGTCAATTACAAACAGGCACAATCTTATACTACGAAAAATGACGAAATAATCTGTAGATCCCCTTATTTTTGTAATTATTTTTGCAAATATTGAATTGCTTCATAAACGCAACTCAACAAAACAGATAAGCTTTGAATCATGGTTTATACTAAAAGGAAATGGGCAAAATTGAACAAAAACAAATCTGTTGAAACATGACGCTCAATACACATGTTTTGGAATAGTTCAGGTGTCAAGTAAAACAAAGCATTATAAATGTTTGATGCAGTTTGTTTTCACTGAAATGGCCTGCATAGCAGCCCATTAGGGATTGGGGAGGGCTGAGCAGAGAATCACTGAAACTATGGCAGAGAATAGTTAGGACACACTGAYATTTCCAAGAGTCCCTATTCCAAAGTTTCCAACTCATTTTTTTCTTCCATTCATATGCAAKTAAAAGTTTTCCACTATTTTTGACTACATTTACAGGGGCGTATCCAGGGGGTCACATGGTGCCTGTGCCGCCCCTTTCAAACTCAAAAAAATGTAACCGTTGATGCAGTTGGTGAGGATTTGTTCCAAATTAACTTAAGCAGTTATTAAATTCAGTTTTCAGTCTTCTCTGGCCGTTTCGTTTCAATTCAAATGAAAAAAACAGATTGAAATGACATCATATTGAGGTCATATTGAGAATTTGGTATGAAAGGACCCTCCTTTGAAAATCCTGGATATGCCCCTGGTTTATGCTGTTCCTTGGGACTTGTGAAGCTCATTGGTTTGTCATAAAATCAATTGTGCCAAGTCATACTTTGTATTAAACAGGGATCCTACCACTCCTTGAAAAGCTGTGAAAGGCACATGAAAAGTGTTTTGACTTTGTTAAATTGAAACTCAAACTGTTGCTCAATATAAGCAAATATTCACCTTTGTATTAGTGGATAAATTGGAAATTGTTTGGTCCTTGTTGGTAGTCAGAAGATAATTGAGGTGTAATGTGTAAACTAGGGTTACCGTACTTAGAATATTTATTTCTTTTATACACTTATCTGTACAAACACAAATTGTAACAAATTCAAATTTTCCATTTTAGTATAACACAAGTTTTTGAACAAAGTAAATTTTAGCACATAGCATTTTGAAGTTCTTGCCTATATAATATTTAGATAAATGCCTGACAAAAATCCAGAACAAGCTCATGTCATGAACTAATAAAATGTGCACTGACTGAACTTTTATAATATAAATTACTATAACAATAAATAGCTYATGACTATCATAAGTCCATGTCATCTTCATCAAATTCAAATGTATCATCCATAGCATCAGAATGCACAGCCCTTAAACAAATAATAACAAATATTAATCAACAATGATTTGATTCATTTTAAAAGAAAAAGGTTCAGGTTATTGTTTTAGAACCAAATCTGATTGGCTGATCCTTTTTTGCTGCATTTATCTACTAAAAAAGATAATGCATGTGACATCAGATACACCTAACAAGGAACAACAATCTATCATTCAATTATGAATTATATAACATTGCAATATCAAAATAGAGTACAAACACTAAAACTGTGCAACATAAATTCCACTAAATACTGCTAAATTATGCTAATTCTATTGTTTCCTATTGTTTAATTAACACTATTTTGTAGTAAATAGTGGAAAGTGTTGCACACATTTAATGTTTGTACTCTAATGTCAATACTTGAACAAAGATGCATTGTTTGTGTCAGCAATTATCATTACCTTTCAGTGATAACATTAGCTTGATGATTACTGTCACCAATGATTCTATTTTTGAAGTAATCTGTGTTTTTMTCTGCAACTTTCTCATCATCTGTTTTGTTGAAGTTTGAGGATATTTTGGCCATGACATCATCCTGTGGTATCCATGGAATCACRGCAAGGCAAGGTTTCCTCCTGTTAATCAAAATATRCCAGTATTTAAATCCCAGACTCTTTATAAATTATATGGGCACAAAGCTACTTCTCAATGAATATGCATTTGTTCAGGAAAAAATAGCCAGAATTGTAAGATGACAAACACGAATATTTGAATTGTCAGACTTTCCAGGAATCAAAATTACATGACTTTCCGGGCCTAGAAAACTACAAATACAAAATTCTACAACTTTCCAGGTTTTCCAGGACYCTTGCGAACCCTGTTATAGTTAATAAATGATTTATCATGAGATATAGAATGTTATGTACAAATGGCTAGCCCAAGATGCTGCCTGTCCCCTTACAGTAATTGGGAGTTCACGCTACTCCTTGGAAAGCCCTGGAATTAAAACTTGTTTTCAAGGGCAATTTAAAAGCCCTTGAAAATATTAAAGCTCTTGAATATACTTTGACCATTTTACAGTCTACATGGTGTTTTTTCATTGTTTATTGAACTGAGGCCATTTTCAAAAATTACAAATTAAAAAAGTCCAGAAAAGAAGAGATTTAAAAAATAGTCCTTGAAAATTGAATTTTTGCATGTGCTTTAAAAGTGTTTAAAAAGTCCTGAAAATTTGTGATAAAAATGCAGCAAGAACCATGAGTATTCGACACCAAGAATCTGCGTATCTTAAAATCATGATGTTTCAACTTACAAGTGGTCTATTACTGACTGTGGAAGAACTTGATTATTCTTTGCAAGTGCCTCTTTAATACCTGGTGCAAGCACAAACATTGCTGTATCTCCACTAAAAGATAATAAAAAAGGACTATATTGATTGATGTTATAAGGTGTGATGAGAAATGCTATCAAAAATGTACTATTGTCATAATATTTTGTTTTWACAATAAAACTACTTAGGCCCATTTCAAACCAAATCCCATTGAGTACATGGTTGTAGTTTGCAGTGAATTCAGCGCATATATTATAAGGATGAATTATTTTGAAACAGSCTTTGTTGTCACTAAAGCTAACCTTCCCATGTTGTTGTTATCATCCTCTTTATGCTCACCACTGTCTTTCCCACTATAACAAAATCCACTATTAATAAAAAGCAAAGAAAACATACTGTAACTTCGTCATTTGGTAGTGTACTTATGATAGCTAACTAACAATTTGTTGCTTTCATTTTGGGTTTTGTGATTTCTAGCAGGGTTTGGAATGGACACCATTAGTTACATGTAGAAGAGAAGAGGAAGAACAAAGACTACTTGGGGAAGAACAGTATTGAAAGAACAGGACAATGAAGGATGGAAGAGTTGAAGTGTCAGCAAAGGACAAAGATGCTTGAGTGGGAGGGTGAATGCCTTATCATGCACCTACTAGCACAATGAGTTACGATGAATAATTAAATTTTATAAGTAGTCTTTTCCCTTAAAACAATTCACCAGTAAATAAAGAGCATTGACAAAATCAAAATCATACTAGGATAAATGTTCACAGGCTTTAGCTCAATAAAATGGACTAAAAATATGTACCTTTCTGTCATCGAAGAGTATCGCACATCAGACATGACTTTGTTGGAACTGGCTAGATTAGCCTGCTGAAGCCCATTMAGATGATAAGAATGATCATTACTGATACTCAAATTATGCATCTTGGCAGCCATCTTTTCTTCAGTGAGAAGGACCTTTGAAGCTAGTCTTGGCAAGCTATACATCAATTAACAGTCATGTGTATATTAATACAAATATACAATTATTAATAAAGCCAATAGCATTGCTAGTGGGGAGGGGTCTCTATCTGCAAATAGAGATCTAACTTACTTTTCTTCAGCATCATCTTTGCTTACTCTTCTTTTCAATCCAGTATGTTTTTTATAGACATCAACACTGGTGAAGAGAGTCCATGCATTAGCATATTATTTTTATTTGTTCTATTAACCACTACTAAAAAGCTTGATTACTGTTTTAACAATGACAACTGAAATAGTTTTTGCCAAAATGCAACACTTAAAACTGCACATAGCCTTGTTGGCAATTTCCTKCATTCATGCAATAAGACTTCATAAGCATACAACACAAWAAAGAGAGCAATGCCAAAAACTGAGCTCTAAAATCAGCAAAAACTGTCAAACCATCAACCTTACATGGTATACACGTAATATGCCACTCACTTAAAGATAGAAATTATCTTATCTTCTCACCACATATATGATTGTATAATTGATATCTCACTTTTCCACAGTACACAYTCTATCATCTAGTGAAAAAATCCCCCTTTATATCCCCTCTATATTACTCTAGATAAGCCCAGTCAACTAACAGATATATTCATCTTATAAATGATTACAACCTGGAGTTTGCTCCACTTGGTGTTGTTTCTTCTTTAATAATGGGTAAATGAGCTGCTGTCCTACCAGTCATACTTGCATCTAAACAACTGTTAGACACTCTTGAAGTTTCACCTTGTGTTCTTTCTTCAGCAGACCARGGTGGATGAAAATACCTATTACTAGGTGCAYTTGATATTGTTGTACCACTTAAATGGCTATTAAGTCCTTGGATATCCCTGCCTGGGATATTATTATCAATAATTAATGAAACATCTGAATCGTTTAAATTTAAAGAAGATAAAGCAGCATTATGGCCATTCCTACTGTGTGAATTATGATAAAAGTGTGGGATTCTGTARGGACTYCTTCGGCTTGAAGAATGAGARTGTCTTGTTGGAAAATGGTAGTTGATTCTGTCCTGGTCTTGGTGATGAAGACCAAYATTTCTCGCAACCAATAGAGGATTGAAAGTCGTGTTATTGACAGMTGAAGATGAATTTCCTGGTACAAAATGTCTTTCTTCGGGATGAAGGCTGCCATTCCTCGACGAAATCGCTCCATAAGGAAGAGTATTATTGTTATCCATGGTCCGTCAGTCACTAAAGACCTTTCGTGACCTCTAAATTGCTCAAGAAAACAGACGRTAATTTTGCATAAATTGYAATAAAAATCCACCAAAAATTCACTTCAAACGGAATACGATCTCCTTGTGAACTATTCTCAATCACCCATGTGCTTTTGTCAAAGAACTTAGCAATCAAAAGAAAGAACAAGGAAAACATTGAATTGTATTACTCATAACTTTTCAATGATATTGTTTCAAAACATAACCCGCATTGCATTATGGACAAGTAACTGCGGGCTCAGTACAACTTRTTATTTGTTGGGCTTCCTGTGGTTCATATTTCAAGATGGCGGCTCGAYTTGCAAGAATAACACAACTTCTTTCAAGATCACATAGACATCTATTGTCTAACTGTAGGAATTTTAATGATGCACATATCATTCCTTTGAGAAATATGCGTTCCTATTCGCGATGGTGTTTTTCAGARGGSTATTTCCGTGAGAGGGACATTGGATTTAATTCTTTCAAAAAACGCGCGATAAACAGAAKGGAATTTTCTACTTCTATTTGGAGARCGATGTCTAACTCTACAGGAGATGGAATTATAGGTAGAGCATGATGCTTAAACAATTAAGAAAATGATTTGAARTATCTTTCTTGCACTGAAATCGGGATGAGAGAAAAATATCCTGAGATAAGTTGCTTGGGGCAACTATTTTCTTATAAGTTAAGTACCCCACTTACCACTAAGACGATTTTTTCCAGGGGGTTCTCATCAAATTTCTGGAGGCTGGAGGGTAAAATGCGTCAGTACATTTGATCTTTTGATATTTTCGGGAGAATAGTTAGCGCCTTAGATCTTTATTTTTCTGAGGGGGTGCTGTAGGATGACATCGTCTATAGGGGGAAGGGGGGTGGATATAAAATGGAATGGTCCTAGGTGGCTAATTGCTTCACTTTTGAGAACGGCATATGCTTGGGTGCTCATGACTTGGTGGCTCATTTGGACAGCAGTGCATTGAAAGTGTGTTATTTTAACCTTTTAATTTATTGGATTGGTGGCTCATTTGCTTGTTGGTCAATTTGAATTCATGGCAAAACCACCGAGTCAGGCTCCTCCTTCTTTTCTATCCAGAGAGGGGTAGGTGCTATAGTACTTTGGATGCAGGGTGAATAATCACAATTTTTGTTTTCAGGATATAGTGATATCCCAAGTCTTCTTAAAGAGGCTTTGAAATCCAGAGGACATGATGAACAAGTCTTTGAAACCCAAATGGAAGTGTTAGAGAAACTAGTTCAATACAAGGAAGGAACAACAACCATTGATGCTATCAGGTCTCACATCTCATATTGTAAGTTTAATCATTTTGTCTCCTATGATAAAAATAACTAGTAGATGTGTAGGAAAGTGTATTATAGCATTGCCTCATACAAGTGCCTATTGTCTACACATGTAATTGCATATGTACAACCTATTACTTGACAGTGGAGAATATGGCTGGCTGAATGCATTCTTCACATTATATTAATAAAATTGTAACAAGAGCTGCTTTTATATATTGAACGATATAATCATTATTTTTCAGTGTCACCAGAGCATATTTATGAATTGGCTGCATCTGTCTTTGGCCTCAATCACTTGGGTGAGATATTTTGTGTACTTGTGAGATTTATAGCCAGAATATAGCTATCATTGTAGAAAAAAGAGGCATATATTTTTATGTCACTAAAAAGTGAGAAAAGTAATTTAGATATAAGAACAACAAACAAAACATAAAAAAAGCCAAAATGTTTTTTGAAAGAGTATGTATTTTGAGTATTTAAAACTGATTTGCAGACAAATAGCTAGTTTTATGTGTTTTAGTTGGAACTGTAGCTTCAGAAATGGCAGCTCCTCTGTTTTGGATGGCAAGTGTGGCTGGTAATACAGATGCCAAGTACTCTTATGCAAAACTCCTTCAGTTAGGTACATTATATTCATGCTATTTATATTGAAAAATGAAATTATTTAATAACAATGATAAAAAAAAGATGGCATTTCCATATTCCCCAAATATGAAAGTCTTGGTTTTCACTCATTTTTTTTTAATATCTTTCTAAATTTGCAAATTAAAACAACTCTGTTTTCAAATAATGGTCCTTTAATTATCACTGCTAAATCCCAACCAAGTGATTAGAACAATCTAATATCCATTTCAATATGCATTGCTCAGCACATAAAAATTTATTGATATTAAAGCACAGGAAAGTGTTTATATGACAATCAAGGAAATTGGATGTTAGATGAAATAGCATTATTTTATGATACAAATTAGCATTGTCTATACCGTGTCTTTACATACACCATTACCTGAAATAAAAAAGAGAATGAAACACATGTTCCTACAGGGATCTCTTCCAAATTACTTACAATCATGATAGCCAACTTGGGAATTTTGCCTCAGTAGTCACACACAAAGGAATCAAGACGAGGTGCCATGCATAAAGCTCATACGTTCGTGAAAAGAGAAATGAATATAGTGTTTCACGATTGACTGAGCTTTATGCACAGTACCTCATCTTGATTCTCTTGTGTTTGCCTACTGAGGCAAAATCCACAAATTGGTATTCTCTTTTTCTTTCAGGGTCAGGGGTTGAAGCTGATCCAATTGAAGCTGCCAAAATGTTTAAAGAACTATCAGAAAAGGGTCATCCCTTTGCTCAAGTAAGATGATCTTTTCTCCAGTTATCACTAGACAAAATTGTCAAGGTGTTTTGCATAGTTTTTTGACTTGTATACCTTGATTTTAGTTTAGCCTTGCACAGATGTACTACAGTGGTGTTGGGGTGGATCAGGATTTCAATCTGGCTCACAGTTTACTGGAGGTATTGCCTCTGAATCAATGTGACTAATGAAACCTCGAGTTCAACTGTTCAATATTTTTTTTGAACATTTCATTGATATAACATGAGTGATGGAACACTATGATCTGATTGCTAACAGATTCATTTTCAAATTCATAGGTCAGTGCCAAGAATGGCATYCTTCCAGCCTACACTTTTCTTGGTATGTTAAATTTGTAATATTTCCTCAAGAAAATGTAGCAAGATTACTTTTCTTGCAACAATCAATATTGTCTGGCCAGCTGTTTGACTCATGACAGGCAAAGTGTCTGGTTTACTGTTTGACTTACACAGCAACATTGCTGGGTTTACGTAATGTTTAAAGGCCGACAATGAGGACTTGACGGGGTTTCAAAGTCTGCGCAATTAGTTCCAGTCCGAGGCGCTAGCCGAGGACTGGAACTAATTGCAAGGACTTTGAAATCCCGTCAAGTCCAAATTGGAGGGCTTTGAACGACTTCAAAAACTCATTAATTATTCGGGAGGGAAAARAAGCGAAGGAAATACATATAACAGAAATATATTGATTTATTGCATCTCCACTAAGGTTTTCAGTTTTCATAATTTTGAATGCATGAAGCACCGTTTGTTGTTCTTCAATTCCCGGACGGCTTTCTGAAACAAAAGCTATTCAAATTGTCTTTGTCTGCTATTCATGGCATTCCTAATGAGTCTAATTCATAAGTTTTATAAGTATGTTATCTTCCGAGGAATCGCATCAGAAACTCGGTGGCGTAATGGTATAAGACGGCGCATATAGACTGGACGGTAGGGGATCGAGTTGTGATGGAGTCATGTATCAAAGACCTTTTTTCACTAAATTAATGTTAAACTGATTATTTCTAATAATTTGATTATCATTAGCTAGTAGTAGTTGGAAACATGGTAGAAGTAACTGGAAATAAGGTAGAAGTAACTGGAAATAATGTAGAAGTAACTTGAAAAAGGTAGAAGTAACTGGAAATAAGGTAGAATACAAGGTACGAGTACTTCCTCTGGTTTCAAGTTACTTCAYGTGGTACAAATTACAAACAGGGATTGGTTGAATACCTTATGAATAATTAATGAGTTTTTGAATGATTGATAAAGATGACTAACTAAATGACTGACTAAAACGACAATATTATTATCATAAATACAGCTTTGTTTCTATTGTATTCAATTACATCCAAGTATTTGGACCAATTGTCTGTACTCATGAGTTAGAGAACCTTTCTTCACTTGCATCTTTGTACTGTTTTTAAAAATTAAAATTTTTAATTTTTTTACTATTTTTCAACTTTTTTTCTACTTTTTTTACTTTTTAGTTTTTTTAATCTTTGTACTGTTTTTAAAAATTAAAATTTTAATTTTTTATTTTCTTGATTTTAATTTTTTGAAATTCTGATATGGTCGTTTTGAAATAATTTCATAATATTTCACAACACAAATTAAAACAATTATTGTTTTAATTTGTGTTACGTCCACAGCATACAAGTTGTTACAGTTTGATCCATATTGTATATTTTTAAGGTAATATGTACAGAACTGGGCAAGGAGTTGAGGAAGATAAACTAAAAGCAGTGGAGTTTTACAAGCAAGGGGGAACAAAAGGTTAAATAAGAATGTGATAATACTGTGTAGTACACACAAGAATATCTTTCACTTGATAAAACCATTTTATGGTGCTTTCAGAAACCTACTTACTGGCACCTTTAACTAGACCACAATGCAATGTTTACTGATACCTTACCAACCATTTACTGACACCTTACCAACCATTTACTGACACCTTACCAACCACTTATTGACACCTTACCAACCACTTACTGACACCTTACCAACCACTTACTGACACCTTAACAACCATTTACTGACAGCTTACCAACCACTTACTGACACCTTACCAACCACTTACTGACACCTTATCAACCACTTACTGACACCTTATCAACCACTTACTGACACCTTACC